TTTCAACATCCTGCAGGATCGTCAATTCTGCAGGTTCCCGGACCAGTTTAAGTTTATCGATTAGAAATTTTCACAGAAACTTGGGCTTATTTCAGGCTATTTTCATTTTTTATTGCTCAAATCCGATTGGTTTTAAGAGAGTTTTGTGACAAAATGTATCTGCAGGAATCGCGTTTTTTTCGGAAAAAAACGTTTGGTCCACAAATTGCGTTCAGAATGCGTCTCAAATGTGAAGGTTAGACAATATTCGTTTCGACCTTCAAAGCCTTTAAATCCTGCAGACTTCATATTTGAAAATTTGTTATTTTTTGCGAGTATACTTCAGTAAAAATTTCTCTAAATTGTAAAGCAGACTTAGCGACTTAGCAGTCAGCAGGATCGTCGATCCTGCAGGTTCCTGGGCCAGTTTAAGTTTATCGATTAGCAATGTTCACAGAAGCTTGGGCTTATTTCAACGAAATTTTTATTTCTCAAATCCGATTGGTTTTAAGAGAGTTTTGTGACAAAATATCCCTGCAGGAATGGCGTTTTTTTTCCAAAAAAAAACTTTTTTGAAAGGAATTTTGACCTTCAAAGCCTATAAATCTTGCAGATTTTTCAAATTTGAAAATTTGTGATTTTTGCGACACTTTTCAATCAACATTTCTCGAAATTGCAAAGATTTGAAAATCTTCGACTTAGCAGTCAGCAGGATCGTTGATCCTGCAGGTTCTTGAACCAATTTAAGTTTGTCAATTGCTAATTTTTACAGAAAATTAAGCTCTTTTAAATGGGATTTTAATTTATTAAATCCGACTGGTATTAAGAAAGTTACTGGACAATTTTTCCCTGCAGGAAAATGTGATTTTTTCGAAAAGAAAACGTTTTTTTACCGTTTTGTAATTGGCGATTTTTGTAGAAGCGCAAATCAGATCGTCGCGTTTTTATATTTTCTACCTAGCAGATTCCTGCGGATTTAAAATGTCCAAAATCTTCCTGCAGGATTAGCTACAATTTTTCTAAAAAACACTTTATATCCAACAATTCTAAAGAATAAGACATGAAAATTTCAAATCCGACTGATATCAAGAGTTATGCGTCACTTTTTCCCTGCAGGAAAGCGTTAACGTTACTTTCAATCCCTCATAGCTGGCAGGTTTTCCAGCGGATTTTAATTTTCAAACTGTTGCTTTCGAGAGAAAATCCTGCACTTTTCAATGAAATTTCAACATTTAAAATCGCCTCAATATTCAGCGAGTTACGCGAAAGTTAACCTGCAGGAAAGTGGTTTTTTTGCAAAAATGCGTTTTTAGGCCCTCAAATCCGTGAGCATTCTTTAGATGAATGKACATATTTCAAAAAATGTGGTTCAGCAGGAAGTTTTAGGACCTCAAACTTTAAATTCCTGCAGGATTTTTTTTTTGTAAAAAGTGCCTTGAAAATCCAAAATMCAATTGGAAAGTAAAGTTKTGAAAAAAATTGCCTCCGCAGGATTTTGCTCRAACTCGTCATATCCCGCAGGTTTTWGCACCGATTCAAATTTGAAAACTGGTGATTTTTAGARAAAATTGTGTCCTTTTGACCGATGTTTTAATTCCAAAAATCCCAGGGATATTAAGGGARTTMTGCGTAAAATATCCCCGGCAGGAAAATCTGATTCCTAGAGAWCTGACGCAAATTTTCAAAAGATCAACTGATTGTTTTCGTTGATTTCTACCTTGAACCTTCAGMTTCCCCTAAAAATCGACAAAACCAGAAAAAGCYGCCAAACCGGCAACATGGCTTAAGTGCAAAACACTCATGCATGTCTTGTCTGATACAAAGTGGCTTGCAATCATAAAACTATCACTTTTTGTCGGTTTATTCAGGTCATTTTCACGATTCCATGCCCATCGGCAATTCACTTTCATTAAATCGCGCAAATTAGCAGCAACAGCGAAAAAAATCTGCGCATTTCTTGGTAATTGACGTGCCACCTTTACCTGTTGACATTGGGACAGGTGACATGTGACAGTTCAATTTGTCACTAATCATGGTGGTGTTTTTGGTCAATTTGCAATGGTGTCAAGTGTTAAAAAAGTCATCATTATCATGGGAAAGTGCATCGGTTTGCAGAAGAACAATGGCAACGTTTTTGTCGTTTTAGGTTAGGAAATGCGGATTTTGCGCGTTTCGCAATCGGTTTCGCGTTAATTCAAGTACGAAAGATTGTAGCGAGCGTTGGCAAATGGCATTGGCCTGAAATCGCCGATTTCGCACGATTTAAAGCGGAAATTGACTGTTTAATGGGCGATACGCCACTGGGATTGGTCGAATTAAAATTTTCCATTTGGCGATTTTTCGGGGATTCTACGCGCTTGACGGTGAAGTTGAAATTTTTGAAATCCGACCGGTATTAAGCGAGTTATGCGAAAAACTTGCACTGCAGGAATGGTGAAGACTGTACTTTCAAAAAATCGTAGCTGGCAGGTTTTCTGGCTGATTTTAGTTGAAATATCGGGGATTTTTAGAGGAAATCGGGCTCTTTCTAATGAAGTTGAAAATTGTGCGATCCGACTGGTATTAAGAAAGATATGGGTAAAATTTGCCCTGCAGGAAAAGTGTTTTTCTTGTCCAATATTGCGTTTTTAGGATTTTAATGCGTTGGGTATTCATCTAACGCTTAAATTTTTCAAAATATTCGGCTCAGCAGGATTTTGATTACTTCTGATATCTGCAGGATTTTCAACCAATTTAAATTTGCAAATTGGTAATTTTGAGGGAAACTTTTGCGCTCTCCAAAAACATTTTAATTTTTCGCATCACGCCGGTAATTAGAGAGTTAAGTTATTAAGTCAAAATGCCCCCGCAGGAAATGGCGAATATTTCGAATGGGTGATTTTTATGGAAACTTGGCTGTCGACAGGTGTGTTGTTTTCCTAATTTGTTTCATCAGCAAACGAGTTGCGAGCAAAAGAAATTTTCCTGCAGACTCAAATTTTTGGGGCGATTTTTAGAAGAATTTCAGCTCTTTCTAGCGAGGTTTTAATTTTTTGAATCGCCCCCGTATTAAAGGAGTTATGCGCCAATATTGCACTGCAGGAAAACCGTTTACTTAGTTTCAATCCCTCGTATCTGGCAGGTTTTTTGGGCGATTTC